GTTTTTGAGCGTGTTCCTCATCCTTGTACTAATCTCTGGAACTGTTTCATCAAAGGATACTCGAATAAATCTCTCTTCTTTGAGACTGTTTCGCTTCTCGTTCGTATGATGAGAACAGGCTTTGCTCGACCTGATCAGTTTACTTTCCCTTTGGTTATGAAAGTTTGTTCTAACAACGGACAGGTTAGTGTTGGGTCAAGTGTTCATGGTTTAGTTCTGCGAATTGGATATGATAAGGATTTGGTTGTGGCTACAAGTTTTGTTGATTTCTATGGTAAATGCAAGGATTTATTGAGTGCACGCAAGGTGTTTGGTGAAATGCCTGTGAGAAATGGGGTTACTTGGACAGCATTGGTTTCTGCGTATGTTAAGTCTGGGGAGTTAGAGGAAGCGAAGAAGATGTTTGATCTTATACCTGATCGTAATCCGGGAGCGTGGAATGTCTTGATTGATGGGTTGGTTAAATCCGGAGATTTGGTCAATGCTAGGAAATTGTTTGATGAAATGCCTGAGAAGGATATAATCTCATATACCTCCATGATTGATGGATATGCTAAAGGTGGTGATATGCGTTCCGCGCAGGATTTGTTTGAGCAAGCAAGGGATGTTGATGTAAGAGCATGGTCTGCTTTAATATCAGGTTATGCACAGAATGGTCAGCCAAATGAGGCTATAAAGATTCTTCAAAGAATGTGTGAAGAGAATGTCAAACCTGATGAGTATATAATGGTGGGTTTGATGTCAGCTTGCTCTCAGATGGGTTGCTTTGAATTATGTGAACAAGTTGATTCGTATCTGCACCAAAGCATGAACAAATTTTCTAGTCATTATGTTATACCTGCTTTGATAGACATGAATGCTAAATGTGGTCACATGGACAGAGCAACCAAATTGTTTGAAGATATGCCTCAACGGGATCTTGTTTCATACTGTTCGATGATGGAAGGAATGGCTATTCATGGGTGTGGAGTCGAAGCTGTTCGGTTGTTTGAGAAAATGGTAGATGAAGGTATTGTCCCCGATAAAGTTGCCTTCACAGTAATATTGAAAGTTTGTGGCGAAGCCGAGCTTGTTGAGGATGGCTTAAGGTATTTCGACTTAATGCGAAATGAATATTCCATTGTTGCCTCTACTGATCATTATTCCTGCATTGTGAGTCTTCTTAGCCGGTCAGGAAAGCTTAATGAGGCATATGAGCTTATTAAATCCATGCCTGTGGAACCCAATGCTAGTGCCTGGGGTTCGCTTTTGGGTGGTTGTAGTGTACATGGGAATACAGAAATTGCAGAAGTAGTTGCTAGGCGACTCTTTGAGCTTGAACCGCAAAGTGCTGGTAACTATGTGTTACTTTCAAATATTTATGCAGCTTTAGACCGGTGGGGAGATGTTGGTCATCTTAGGGACAAAATGAAGGAGAATGGGATTAGAAAGATTTGTGGCCGAAGTTGGATAAGTCAATAAGCAATTGTCATCTAAACGTGTCATTGGAAGGCTCGGCTTAACTTAACAAGACTTTCATGCAAAAAGCACCACAGGTAGTATCGTGCTCATATAGTTAATAAGGTAAAGATCTATGTTTGGACTTGAAATAGAAGCTTTATTTTGTTTTTGGTGCTGTCTTACAGATAACAATCCTTTGTGGTGTTTTGAGGCATGAGAAAAATGAAGCTCATAAAAGATCTGCGTTTATTGGTTTAATTTGGTCTAAGAGCTCATTGCTGGTGCTTGACCAAAGGTTGGAGGGGGCAAAGATACCTCTTTCTCAACGGTCTCTAGTTTACAAGTTTCTTGTCGCCTGTGAATAACTGAATATAAAGGAATCCTCTTTTGTCCAAAGACCATGTACCGTCTCTAGAGTGGTTTCAATCTTGAGTTTTATGGCAATGTGAGTTTGATGTCCATTGTTCTTCGGGAAACAGAACCTTGAAAGGGTTTTCCAAAGCGGAAGAAGAAGCGTGGTGGATCTTGTGTATGGATCATCTTCTTATAGCTTTTAACTGAAAACACAAAGAAGAAGAAAGTTAATTAGTCTGAATGCAAATCAAGATTTTGCTCATAGAGCTTGAATCATCTTACAGAGACACAAACAATAAAAATCGAAGCTTTGAGGTTTTCCTCTAATGAAACACACAAAAATGAGATAGCTTTCAGTAAACCAGACAAAACCCTGGTCGTAAAATCTGAGATCTGGAGATTCCAAGCTCAAATTGACATCAAAACCCTAGTTCGTTTCAGCAGCTACGCGGTGATGAACACATATGGACACGTGTACGGTTTTGATGTCTTGATTCTTCACTCAAGCGTTGACACTTGACAGTTTAATTAAGCACGTAAAGAAAAAAGAACCGGCGGATTTTATTCAATCAATCTAACGGCTGGAAAGTTCGTAAATCTCCAAGCCCATATTAAAAATTGGGCTTTTCGCAGGAAGCCCATAAGTTTGGCTTTCTTCTTCTTCTACCAGACGCAACTCCTGAACTGGATCCGAGAGCCGAGTCGAGAGAGAGATGTCTTCTCTTCACAATATATCCGTTGAGTGTTTCTTATCCCAAACGGCTAATTTTTTTTGAATTATATTTTTTTAACGGATACTTTTATTCTATAAATATACCAATAGATTTGTTTGCTTCAATTCTTTAGCCAAGAACAAAAAAACAAAAAAAAACTTTTTATTTCGCTTGATCTCTCTGTTTTCGTCTATTCTATAGAATCATCAGAATCAAGAGATTGAACAGAAAATCGGAGAAGCTTCGTCGGTGATTGAGATTGCGACCAGAGAAAAATTCGATTTGTGTGATCGACGGAGACGACAACTCTCTGAAGATGAGAAAAAGAAGAAGACAAAACAATACTCAGAAGTAACTTTTTAGAAAGATGCTAAATACTGAGAATCGTATTGTTTGTGTAAATTGAAAGCTTTGAAAAACCATTCCTTTTTTTTTTCTCTGTCAGTTGATTTAGTAAAGAAACCCAAGAAGATGGATCGTTTAGTTTAGCTATGTCATATAATTGGAATTGTGGAAATTAATTGTCAATGTCACATA